ATATATATATATATTTAGTGCATCACCTAACTAACGTGATCGATCGGCCTAAAGAGCTTTCGGAAGAATTTTCTAAGATGTCAAGTTTCATGGCTGCAACTTGCAAGGATGGATATCGATGTATTCATGGTTAAGGAGCTTTCAATCTTTTAATATGTAATGCGACTGTACAGATGGATAGGTAGATATGATTTTCAGCAGACAAAGAATTTGGGAAGAAGAAAATATAACCAGAATTTTAAAGCTGCTGACTCACTATGAATCTATGATCATTGTGATTGTCTCCTAGCGAGATAAAATCTAATGAATCAAGTCTCTTACAAGTTACAAATAGGGTAAATTTATTTGTATTTAAAATTCCTGCCTACTCTTGCCAATAAGAAGATATTTTACTTTATCTGTCAATGAACCAAACACAGAGAAAAGTGAGGTGGTGAGTTTCTTCTATCTTTTTTGTCTCTGGCGTTTAAGTTGCAGCTGTATAGCAGGATTAGCAGAAAGAGAGGGTGGAATTCTTTATGCATTATGATATATATGTTGTTAGGAATCAATTTCAATCTTGTATTTATACTTAGCACAAGTCGATTTCATTTCACGGTCAAAAAAGCACACTCTCATTCAGAATATATCCAAATGATAAGTCACTGTATATATGCATGTGACTACATATAATAATTAACCAAGGCAATGGCATGATATGCAAAGTGATGACGTTTTCCTATAAATTATTCCAACTCTTGGGATTCTTTTTAATTTACTCCTTGTATGGCAAGTGGCTGACATGAAAGAAAACCAGAAAATCTTGAGAGATGAAAAGTGAAAATCCCATGACGACGTGTGGTCCTTGACTCCCTTATACTTTTCGAATAATGCTATAATACATGGAAAAGTTATCATGTATATCATAAAATTATTGGTCAGGATCGTTTCATAAAAATCTTTCTCCTGCCAAACAAACCCTAACTAACGGCCCAAAATTCCTCTACGTGTGGTTCTAGAACATGTCATTATTGAAGCGCACACACATCATGTCGATGTAAAAGAACAATAAAAATGCAAACCATGCGACATCCTTCGGGAGAGCTTTTAACTTTTTGGCTTTGGGGCCTAAGGACAAACGTGGATGTGACCTGACTGGAGCATTTCTGATGGCAATCTCTATCTTTCGGTGAGTTGGAACAACAACATATACATTCATAAAGCCTACCTCTTTCTGTACGAATGATCAATTCGATACATGTTATACCGATTAGGGAAGTAGAACTTAGATATCACGGGTGTGTATATCCAAGAATTTGATTATCGGTTGTAAATTATTGTCTGCTAACCCAGTAGCTAAGACTATAGGCAGCCGCGCCGTGACCACTACATGTCTTCTCGTCGATTAGCCCCCAAACAAAAAGCATGCGTTCCCACTAAACATCTTGCCCCGCATGATTCTCTTGTCTTCTTGAGAGAAATCATTATTTTGTCTTTATTTTTGGAGAACAAAGTCTCAACGTCATATGCCTAACAGGACGCGTAAATCCATCAACAAGGTAAAACTGAGTGGTTGATGTCGTGCTCATCTTTGCTGTGTCCTACTTCGATTGATAATTTGATATACATAGCATGCTCATGTTACTCACTCAAATTTTCCTTCCACCCCCACTCTTAGAAAAAGGAAATAAAACTTGAAGAGATTATATTGACAGTCATGACCGCTAGTGCCATAACCAAGGAGCTTCAGGAACATTCCGTGCATTGTTCAAACTCTTTTCTGCAACAATTGATTTGGTTCACAACTTTTCATTTTGATGTGAACCTTATCGAATACAAACATACGACAAGTGTTTTAAAAAGACAACCCAATTCTACACATCAGTCGGTAAATATTGAGGTGGAGAAAGCCAACCCACCACCACCGACAGGCAAGTCTTTTGTCCATGTCAATATATATATATAGGAAGAAGACGTGAACTTTTTTTTTTAA